GTTGAGCTGTTGTTCAGCATCTTAGCTGTGGAGGGCAGTGTCACTGGCCCTCACATGTGGGATCCGAACCGGGGCCCTCCGGCATCCCAAGCGAGCTCCCAACCATCGCGCCACTCGGCCGGCCCAAAAATGCCATTTCTATACCTATCTTGGTATGGTATTTTTATTGCTTTATTTTAATGAGTGGAAGAAAGTTTTTGTGAATTTCCTGAGAGTCTCTCCCTCCATTATTTACCTTAAAATTGTGAATTCTTCCACAGCATTTTCAGGATCACGGCTCCTGTAACCAGGAAGGGAATATTTTACTGAGCTTGAGGTGAAAGAGGGGTCCTAGAAGTACTTTGTAGGCAGACTAAACGTTTAGCATGTGTTTACTCCAATTGTTAGATTTTTTTCTGCTTGTTTGCTTTCAGATTCAATTCAGCTGGTCCCTGAGCTTGGCTCCTGCAGCAAACAAAGCCAGGGGCACCCCTATTTGATCGTAATCCTGAGAACTCTGCTGAGCAGGTTCCATTCTAAGATCATTGGTTTCATTCTGAGTGTCAGAGGAATTACTTCTAACCCCATAAGGGTTACAAAGTTTGAAGTCAGTCATCTCTGCTTTGGAAGTACAAAACATGTTTTTTCTGACTTGAGTTTGTATAATGACAAAATAGAAGGGAAAATGACCAGTCAAAACTGTTGAACAATTACTGATCACCTGAGCCAAAATAAGGTGATGGGACATTCTCCATTTGGGCTATAATATTTGTTAGGAAATGGATCTGATGTGAAATGGTGGGAATAAGAGCAGATACGTCTGTTTTGGTGGCCTGGGTACATTTTTTAGAGCGCACTGAATATTGGGGAACTACTGAAGCTGTCTGAGCAGGGCAGTGCCGTGATCACAGCAGCCCTTTGGAGGATTAATCTGCCTCAGTACTTGGCACCAGCCCTCACTTGTAATAAGGTTCCTAGTCATTTGTGTGGGAGTGGCAGAAAGGAGCAAAAGGCCAGTTGAGAGGCTATTTTTGTCCTCCAGGGATCAGGAAATATGAAGCTGAGAGTGAATGGTGACAGTGAGAATAAAAAGAAAGGGACAGATTCCTGAGTTGGGGACAAGGAATGGACAAGGTCTGACAACCTGACTGAATATGTGGGAAAAAGGAAACGGCCATAGTGGTCATTCAGGAGGAGGGTTCTACCCCGATGAAGATATTTGGCAGACAGTCTGGTGGAAGTGGTAGGAGCTAGCCTGATACGTGGATTTGGGGAGTCATCTTTGTGTAAATGGTCGTTGAAACCATGGAATAAAGAGAAAGCAAGCAAAAGAGAAGAGGGCTGAGTGTACCACCCTGGGCATGGGCCAGGCTGCAATAATGGGTCAAGGGAGGCAGAGTAAACCCCAATTGGGAAGGTGGGACAAGAACCAGAACTAAGTTTCAACAACCTGAGGAAGGAGAGAATTTCAGAATTTCAGTTTGATTATCTGTCAAACCCCAACAGAAAAAGCCAAGGAGGATGAATACCAAGAAAAGGAGTTATTGGGCAGGTTGAGAATTCTTAGAGCTGGGGATTGGGTTTATGTAGGGAAATTGGGGAGAAGGGTCTTAAATACCTTAATCACATTTATTGCCTTCTTAGTTGCATTAATTTCATGTAGAAGTATGTTATTATGCTTAGAAGCTTAATTTACCTATATCATTTTGTAAGTAGATTTTTAAAAGGGGAAAAAGTATTATGGCTAGAGATGATTTTGGTGGGAAGAGAGCAGCGACAACTTATTCAGAACATGTACCCTTTCCATTTTTCATAGTTAAAAATTTTTCGGTTTGTTGGTTTGAAGCTGTTTGAGTAACAGGAAACATGCTCTTTCTTGAAAATGAATAGAATATGTCTCAGTTGACTTGTTGTAAAATCCATTAATGTTGAGTTTCTCATGGATATTTCTTCAAGGAATACACACACACACACACACACACACACACACACACACACACCCCTATATGTTTAGCACCTGAAAATAAGACCTGTAAATAACCATAATTTATAGCAAACAAGTACAATCAGAGAAAAAGGGAAAAGGATAAATTGCTGTGAAAATTCAGAGGAGGAAGAGATATTTTCAACTTTTTCTTTTTTTTTGTGGGGAGGGGATTTTGGGTAAAGGTCCAAGCAGAGATGATAGAGGAAAGAGGTTCCAGGTAGACGAAACCCTGAGCCAGATACAGAGTTGAGGTCTTAGGGGACATTGGCCATTTTTGTTTGGCTGAAATGTGTGCCTGTGTGGGGGGGGGTGCTTGAAGGAACATTAGGGGAAATGATGGAAAGATAGTTTGGAGCCGGAACTTAGAAGATGGCAGGAGTATGAACTTGATTGGAGGCAGCAGGGAGCCATTAAACATTTTTGAACAGAGGAATGACATTACCTAGCTGATGCTTTAGAAAAATGACTCTTCTATTACTTGAAATTTTAATAAGCATGCAGCGCTTATGCCATCAGCAAAGAATGATAAAGGTAAAAGAAAGATGTGTCTAATAGTACCATTTAGGTTGGATTAGAAAGTGAAAAAGTAGAGATAAGGAAACCAATAAGGGAGGCGGTTTATGCAATTACCTACAACATGAGTAAACTACAATCCCTAATGTCTGCTTTTTTGAAACAGTCATTAGTATTAAGTAGTATATTATTTTATGGGTTAAGTTCTTTTTGTTGTAAGTTTTTGGCTTAAGTAGGAAAGGGTGCATTAAGGTCATTGGTGTGTCTTACAAAAACTCAAGGCAGACAAGATTCTGTAGCTGGACCTGAGAAAGGTCTAGAACCAGGAACTGAAAAGCTATTAGTAAACCTCCCTTCCCTGCTCCCTCTACTGTTTCTCAGGGTATTCACTGGATCCTTTTTATTTTTTATTTGTGAACTCTATTTCACTAGTCTAAGCGGAAGTTGGAAAATGGCCTTCCTCAGCTCCTGTATACCAGCCACTAGGAGAAAGGGAGAGACCGAGCCAGACTGACCCTTGGTCATGGTTTCAACTCTCAGGGACAAGACTTGGGTTTTATTGTGCTCAAAGATGAACTTGTTTCTACCAGTTTATAGCTAGTGCCAATCAACTATTTGGCCAGGAGAGTATAAATATACACCGTGGGAATTTCCTTCTCTAGATTGGAGGTCTGGTTAAGAAAGGTCACTGTAAATTAGGCAGAAATCCCAAAGGGTGTTGGCTATAATTATGTACTTTGAGTTTTTACCGATGTTTAATGTATTGGTTAAAAAGCTAGCAGACTACATTAGATTTAGAGAAGTAATATAAATATCATGCAGAAATTTCCCCCCCAGTAAGGTACAGAGTGTGTGTAAGTTAAACCGTGATAAAAGTGGTTATCCCTGGGGATTGTGGGGTGTATGGATTGAGAGAAGACAAGTGCTGGGGTGCTGGAAATGTTCTATATACGGTCTGGGTATTATAGTGATTACACAGGTTTATGCATGTGTCAGAATTCATCAAAATGTGTGCTCTTGATGTATGTAACCAGTATCTCAATTAAAAAGTCTAGGCAGAGTTGACTTGTCTGATTTATACGCCTTGCCTTGTCATATAGAGGCCTACATATCATTGGAAATTAACTAAGTTCTCTTTTGTTTTATTTAGATAATGTTTTTTTTTTGTTTGTTTGGTTTTTTTTAGATTTTTTTTATTGGGGAATTGGGGGGATGGGAACAGTGCTGGGGAATTGGGGGAAGGGGAACAGACAAGTTGCTGTCATTTTGCTCTTCAGTCTAG